GCATACAGCACTAGATCTGTCTGGAAATAATATTGATTGACTTATTGTGATTAATGTTAGAAATTAATTAAAATTGAGGAACCCACTGGTAGAACTTCGTCATTACTTCGATCTGAACAAACACCTCCTTCGTGTGAAAGACGAGTTGCAGTCAATGCGAGTTTTAGCAGTGCTATGTGGTCTTCAAGGTCCCGCATGGCGACTTCGACCGAATTTTCAATCGGGGCGAATGGAGAATGAGACAATATTTGGAGACATCCCAATGGATTCGAGTGAAGAACCTGTAGATGACTCATCCAGATATTATCCTCCCCCAGATTTTGACCACCCTGGATTACTCTGTAAATTTCGCATTAATTTTGTCTCACAAATTACATGTCACCGATAATATCCACTAGCTAGGCTCTGCACAATGGCACTGGAGTGGTAATGTGACAACGGGGTGGGGTGGGGTTAGATTGAAGTGGAAGATCCCCCAGTTACATTGTGACGTTGAAGACATTGAGGCGAAGTATGCTTGTTAAGAAAACGGTGATACAATTGATAACGTACTCTTCTGACAGAGGAGAAATCCTGAAATCGAGGGCTATTGATACCTCCTCATCTACTCACTTTCGAAAGAGAAATCATGGGAGAATTTTATGGACATTTGGATAGCTTAAATGTAGGTTTTAAAATTAAAAAGAAACGGTAAAAATTAACCACAGTATGAACAATCGATAACCTCCAATGTCATTCTGGCATTTCATTTGCCTCCAAACTTTCCTTAATTTAAATTGATATTTTGCTCACCTCAAATCTGCTTCCGTTACAAATTTTGCCTGAAATTGACAAATCCTTCCCCCAACCAGATGGTAGAAAAATAATATTTATTTGTTAGCAGTTAATCTGAAGTAGAAACTTTACCATTAATAAAAAAATTTACGTGGCACAGCTCCTCAGTTTCCAGTTTTATAGAAATTTGATTGCTATTCGTTGTGGGATTACCTTTCCAGTTGTGAATCAACGATATTTACTTTAACTGGCTTAGTTCTTCTCACCAATGAAAACGGACCAGAAGGCAGAAGCACTTTGGATTCGCGTAGAGCCTACCAATGCATGAAGTTCCTTGTTGAGCTGGCATCGGAGAACACTGCTGTGGTGGAGGGTCTCTCGAGATTCCCACACCGCTGGGGCCCTGCAGTCGAGTGGTTGGAGTCCCTACTGGAGGAATCTGACAAGACCAGCAGTCCCGTCTCTTCTCCTTTTGGTCGATCCACTCCCTTGACTCGTCACTTGGATCTCATCGACTCAATTCCTCCTCCTCCTCCTACTGTGAATGGAAGACTGAGATCTGGCACATACAGTGGACCCCCTTCCAAAAGCCGTATGCTTTCATGACCTTCCATTTTCTCGCTTTGGAATAGTTTCAATTATGTGCTCATTTAAGAAAGTAAAATGCAGAGTTATAGAGTTGGCAAGTACCATAGAAGGAAAGATGCATTCGATGCGATACGCATGTAATCGGTTAGTTAAACGGAGAAGGTGAAGAGAGAGTTTGCTTGTTTGTATTAAGGAAAGAATTTCTCAATCACGTTGATCAAAACACACCAGCTTATTTTAGATTTCTTGTAGGTGGTTTCGAAATCTCCATTAAGTGACATATATCTTTGCTTTCCTTCGCACTTTGTTGAGGGGTTTTGAATAGGAGTTGAACACGATGCAAAGAAGTACTTTGATTGTTAAATTGGAGAGATGGTAACGAATATGGTTAGATTGGTTTGTATTGTCACTCGTAAGAGTGGATAAATTTGAATAAAATTTTAACGAGTGCGCACATTGTGCCACACTCTTGCTACCAACACACACACATACATAACACTCCCTGGTTTTGTGAGTTTTGATTTGATTTCGGTATGATTAAGGTTTGTTCAGTTCAATGATCAAATATAAATGGATATTTTATTCAATTGTCCATTACGGCAATTACTTATCCTTGTGTCGTGCATACAATTTCAGCTTATCCACACATTCTGTTACAATCTAGTGGACATGTGGTTTGAATAGGTCAATGACTAATGAGCATCTGTACTTGAAAGAAATCAATTGAAGAGTATCTGAGGAGGAGAGAATTGTGGCTATAATGATTCGTGCTTTGAGGTTGAGGAGTTGTAAGAGAAGGGATATGCACTCTTCCTGAGTGGTACTTCAATGAGGAATGGATGAAGGAAATAGTGGGCTATCAACGTGATGGGTTGGTGGAGTGACAGAGGTGGAGATAGAGGAGAAACTGGCTAGTGGACATGTGGTAGGCAGGAAGTTAGTGGTAGAGGTTAGGAAATAGAGCAAAGATGAGGAGTGTTGAAATGAGAGATACATTGAGGTGCACTGTAATAAATCCCTGACAATTGATGGTCATTGCGTTATCTAACAAACCATTAAGCTAAGAACTCCGATCCCTCTTAACAGGTGATTTTACCCGACTCAAGAATAGTTAAGTTATCTTAAATATCATTTCTTATTTTTAATTTTAAATTCAAACTATTTAAATTAAAGTCATATAACCTAATTAGCATATTTGCCATAAATTATCTGAGTGTTCACACCCAAGTACTTACTTGACCTACAAAAATGATGATGCTGATGGTGATGATGATCTGGTGGCATTTATGAACTGAAATTCAGCTGACATTACGTGATGCTAAGAAAATTGTTTCAAGTTCGTTGAAGCTCCATTAGTTCTCATTGACTAAATCTGCACCTTCTACTCCACAGTAATCACTTCAAATTTGCACCTTTTAATACTGATTTGGTATTTGCTCATATTAATCGATAACTTGTCGTTGGATGGAAACTTGCCAATTTAGACTCGTTCCAACCAAAATAAACACGAAGAAACGAACACTGAATTGGAAATTATCACAAACGACTTTACTTAGTTCATCACTGACCACAAAAATAGAGAACTAATACATATTTATTTGTTAAATATAATCATATAATAGCAAATAATTTGTTAAAAAGGCAAATAAGTCCATAAATTATGTCAATTTTTATAAATGAAAAGTCCTCTGATTCACATTTTTGAAAAGTGCAATTCATTTCTCAGATGAATGAGCGCAAATAAGTTGCCAATCATTTCTCTCAGAAGGCTTAATCTGAAAAGTGAAAAACATTGACTTATCCCAATCAATCTCTCCATGATATAGAACAAAAACTGTCGTATTGTGAGAGTAGCGTTTATAACAATTAGGCTCATAACAAACATGATTAGTATTTGAACGCACTTAGTATAAGTTGATTGGACATTAATGGCTGATTAGCTGAGAAGTCTTTTGCACACACGAGCGTACCTTTCAGAACGTTCGAGTGCGAATGAGATTGCTGGATCCAGATTTCATGATCCACAGAATCAAACATGAGGTTTAAAGATAATCTGATTAGCATATTACAATTTATGACCGTTTTTTGAGATATAAACTGCATCAGAATCTGTAAAATAGACAGTGCTTAGACGACTCACCTATCTTCTAAAATCCCAAGATCCGTTGATTCAACGAGACAAATTGAATCATTAAACTGATAATCAACAAGATGTCCAAATGAAATGACTCTTGAATGAAATGCTGTAGATTTTAAGTTGTTGGTTAAAACGCTTTACTTTAACACTGTACATAGCAATACCTCGTAATTATTGGTTAGAATTCTTTAGAGTTAAATATACATACTTTTGTTGAGTGCTGGAATAGAGGGCATTTCTATAGGGAAAGAGGCTAATGATCATTGTGGTTTGTGAAAGGATTGTTGGTTATTTTGATTTGGTAGATACCCTTTCATACGATTACCTTCGGGGCACTTTCATACTTTCTAACGAATGCAATATTATAGATGGCATTAGTAAAATGATGAAAATTACTACGTAGGGACAAACTTTAGTGCAGACGATGAAAAATTTGACAAAAGGTAATAATACTCTAGCATGCGCTTAATATTGATAAAATAGAAGTCGATTCCAAAAAACAATTTAGATCGAAAGGACCCTATTTGACTAAGCAATACTGCCAAGCAGTACCTAAAAATGCATTGTAAAACTGACTTCCAATATGAACAGTTGTATGGGCACCACACCCTTCTTGGCATTTGGATTCTTATAGAAAAAAGGTTGAGGATAAATGTAGCTATTTCCGGTATGAACCAAACGCTTATCATTTCAAATAGTTTGTTCTGTTTTAACCAATTAAATCGTTTCATCACTCTCCCTATCGTTCTTAATCATTGGTTTAGTCTTATGAACACAATTTGAGAAAATATTTAGCCCCTTTCACGCAAAAATGAAACGAAATTTAGTAATTCTCCTATTCCTGTTGAAACGTAGACTCCCTAGGCTGATTCACACAAATGGGTCCTAATCAGCAGTACTGAAATCAATGAGATTCCGAAAAAATTAAGATAAAAAAGTAATGAGATTATTCAAAAAGATAGTCCGCTAAAAGTTTGTATCAACTAATATTTATAGAGACAGTAGATAAGATAATATTAATTTTGCTGATAAATTCTGTGAATGAAAATCACTCTACTGATAGTAAGCATAAATCTAAAGGCAATGAATTCAGTTCCTTAGAAGTTGAACGAAAATATAAAGAAAAGGCCATAATAAAATTAACAAGTTTTGGCCTGACATCAAAGAACAAGCCAACTTTAGTACATGGCTGAAGTTTGCATTTATTTTGGTCTCATTTACAAAATACGACATTGGCGAATTCCTCCGCCAGTGGAGAAGTAAGTTCAAATCTCACAAAGAAGGAAGAGATCGAAATCTATTTTGGATTTGGGACATCAGGAAGTAAAGGAAGGAGTGGGCTGAGGTATTGAGAAGGGACTTATGACAGAAGTTAGCTTTTCAGCACTCTATCCTCGTCAGGAGACGAAAAATCTGGCCGTTTTGTGATTTGAGGACAGCTAGACCTAACTAATTCGAAAGACTGATTGCTCAGAGATAATGAATCCAAGAACCGTCTCCAGCCATATCTGTTGCCTTCGCATAACAAGTTACAATGTAGTTTTCTCCATGATTATTATCCCAATAGGTGACTCCAGAATGAATTTCATACCTTATCGCAAATTGAGCTCGATCATTAGCAACCATGGAGTTAGGAAAGACGGCTGAAAAGGAAAATCGGTCGGTAGTACCGTCGTGAGAGTCCTGAACATAGGATGTGGGAATTTCAAAGAAGGTAGACCAATCGTTATAGGTTATCCGCACCGCAACCTTCTTCTCAAAACCTACACTCTTCACTCGAATAGTTCCAGTAAGAAGTCCTCTAGAGGAATCGACTCGGGCATTTTCAAGGCAAACGAAATGTGTGAGAACATGGTGTATGAAATTCGGCGATGCACCTGGTTGGGAGAAACATATCTGATATTGTTTGGCACCCAAAGAGCTAAAAGATTTTTCTTTGTCAAGATTAAGGTCCATAGTTGCAGAAGCAGGAATAAACGGGGGATTTTCTGTGTCTTTCACTTGCCTAACAGAGACCAAATCGAGACCCAGAGAATCGGCAAATCTGACTATTTTTCGACAAGGAGTATCGTCGGGTGATCGCTCAGACTTTAGCGAACTGCTCCGTTTTGATCTTTTGGTAGCATCGCAGCAAGATATTGTTGGACTTCGTACTCGGTCTAAACTGCTGGTCTGAAATCCATCGTAGGAAATATCCGATGGTTTAACAATTTGGAGTTGGAAATTATCAGACGAGATGATTGCAGTACCATCCGGTTTATCTAGAGGCTTAGAACCATCAATTTGGCAGTCATGAGTAAATTTTTCAACTGCATTTGAAATTAGGGAATCCACAAAGGCACTGGGATTAGATTCGTCAAACACATCCGAATCTTCCTGATCAGTCGGATCCATTAATTTTTCAGCAAAATGCATTTCTGGAAGAGGCGGAGGAATCTGCCAAGCATAGAGTTGATTAGCACCTCGTGGTTTACGTGTCTCACACGAGTCAGATAGATTCCTGGGAATTGTTGAACTGATGACATTGGAAGCTAGTTTTTGGTACTCCTCATCAGTTATGTGCCCATTAATCAGCTTAGCCTGAAGTCGTCCAAGTGTAGTAAGAGGATGCGAGCATTCGCAATCACTAAAAATCTCAGAGGAAGAACACACATTTTCTGCTGGAAAATCATCTGTCATAACGACCTCTTCTTCAGTTGTCATGGGAATTTCGAATATTTGCGTTTTTTCTGCAATCTGCAGGAGCTTAGAATAATAGACTTCCGGTTCGACACTGAACATCATAGTTGGGTGGGCGAAAGTTATGGCGGTGGAAAACTGTCCTTCATCTCCCTGATCAATAGGTTCCAGATGCTCTTCAGTAACAGGATCACAGCTGCGGAGAGAATCGTAGGATTTATTGAGGTCATGTGACGATTCCTTGAGTAAGGTTATGAAAGCAACCTCAGGGGGTTTCGTGGATGCCTCACTATTTTCAGTTTGAAGGTCACCGATATCCTCATTAGCACAGTCATGTAGAAGAGCGACTTTGGAGGGTTCTTGATCTGTAGGGACAGTATTTAGAGGTGCCTTAACGGAGTGGGATGAATTTTCATCTAAACCGTCCTCATCTCCTTTGATAGAAAATGAGTCACCATGGGGAGGATGATGTTTAGAAGCTATTGAGCAATCACAAACCTCAGCTAAAGCAGTGGTGAAAAGTAATTTGACACGTGCCAAGAATGAGACGAAAAAATTAGTTGAGGAGGATCTATGACGTTCGGAGTGGTTTTCAGTGCTTTCAACGTTGTTGACGGTAATACCGATATCATCAAGATTATCAGATTTGAGCATTTAAGAGCTACACTGATTCAGTCGTAGAGGGTGGCAGGTGAGACGGGAAACAAAAAAATGGAATCAAAAGGAGAAATGGCAAATAATCCTTTGTAGCTGTACAGAAGAGTGTAATCTGGTAGGAGAATGCAGAATTATAGCTTTTACATAGCGCAGTTCCACAGGGAACCTCGAGCATAAATGACAAAGGAATTGTTACCCTTCTCTCTCGGAAGTGCAAAATTAAAACGGGCGCGTTTATGTTTACGCTCCTAGCAGCTACGTGACTGCTGGGACCGTCCCAGCTTAATGGATTGGTTCTGCGCTCGCCAATGTGTGGCCATGTGTTCTGTCAGGTCAACCAATCGCTAAGGAGCATTTTTCCATTGGCAACTTGAAGCCAACGGGCGAGCAGTTCTTCTAGTGCAGGCCGAATACGACCTTGAGGAAAGATAACAAGAAATTTGCTATAAGGATTTATAAATTATATTCCATAGTTTACAATTTGCAATATCTTGAAGTGGTTTATTTGATTTCAATTTAAATTTCTTAACATTTTGCACAATGGATTAAAATCTGCCCCTTCACAGGCACATCCTTAATAATTCTTTTTTTCCATTAAGGATTTAAAAGAAAGTAATACATTTAAAGAAATCAAAATCACTTTTCGATAATTATTATATGGATTACTGGTAGTTGTTTAAAAGATGGTACATATCTTAGGAATGCGAAGGAACATTGAACTATTGAAGTAAAGGGTGAATATTTGACCTCACATGAGCACATTTAATGGGGAATGGACTTTTATAGGGTTATTTTATCGCCACTTCCCATTAAGACCATTCATTGGCATTTCATGGTATATGAGCATAGTTCTGGCTATTTGTTGAGGCTAAACAAAACCAATTTTCATCCAGTATCTGCCGTAGTGACAACGGTTTTACAAACCTCCTAAATTCCACTTTGATCTGCTAGAGAAACTCATGGGTTGCTAAGAAACAAAACTTTGCTTAATAATTGAGCGTTAACGATGTGTAATAATTTATTTATTTATTTCAAATGGCAGGCGTTTTGATAGCTATCATTAGCCCTTTAATTGACTTCGGGCTTCACAGAGGGAAGGTTCATCAAAGTAGCAGAAAGTCGAGGGGTGGGGAACAGAAGAGCGATTCACAGATGTAAAAGAGGCAGACAGACACAGAGGCAGAGAAAAGGGTAAGATGAGTACTGTGGAAGCGGTCGAATATGACAAGCAGTCGTGCCATGGTATTTTGAAGTCAGAAGTCAACTGTCGGTTAATAGACTTTTTTGCCGTATGAGTATACGTTGCCCAGGGTGCACCACGCGGAGGTAAGTCTATCGCACATCCCCACGTTGTGTAATAATATAATAATAGATTTTAAGCATACTAAGTGAGATAATTATTGAGCTAATTATTCGTAAAAATTTCAGAATATCTACAACTCTTTTGACCTCGGAAGAAAAGAATTTAAGCAGATGATTTGTATAAGATTGAATAGGGTACTTTCAAAATGATCAGCTGTTTGATTAGGGAAAAATCGCTTCAATAGAGGTGTGAACGCGGTAAACCGTTCACGGAGAGGACAGACTAAGAGGGATGAAATATATGAGCTGAGTTCGGTTGGAC